AAAATTATATTTTATATATTTTTTTCTCTGCAGTTCAATATTGACGTTCAGTATGTTACAAACAGCGTGATCTGATTTGGCACAATGTGTGGAAAACTGAAAGATATATATATGACTACTTACTGTTGTGAGCTTGATGTCGGGATTGTCGTTCAGTTTGGCAAAATAACTTAGTCCGGCCGTCAACGAGAAGTAACAGCTCAGAATAACAATTATCATGGCAAACATTTTATGCCGACCTGTTATTGACGGCATCGCGACGGCATACGCGTAACTGACAGCCAAAAACTTCTCTCATCGTTATTTTATACCGATATAAAAAGCGTACCGTGCAGGGGGATGCGTCATGATGCTGCGATATTCGCTATACTTACTCCGCTTGTTTCTACCAACTGTCAGAACGGATCGATTAAACAATTAAACTAGTAAATAAATTACATTTTTTCACATTTTGCCGATTTGCAAAGAATATATTCAACTGCCAAGATCTTGGCCACTATGTAATTAAAAAATTTTAATTTTTTTTACAAATTAAATCAAATTATTTAATACAATTTATATTCTGATAATATTATAAATACTTATATATATATATATATTTATGTTTTACTCTTATATATATTTATACCTTATTATTATTCTTACTTTTATTTTAAAAAAAAACACTGCAAATCCTTCTTTTAGTTTAGAGAAGCGTAACAATGTTTGAAATAAATATTGAAGATGTTGGAAATTAAAAAATTTTGCATTAAAATTGATATCTATTAATTTTAATTGTACATTACATAATTATTTTGTATATACAGTAACAGAATCTTAGAAGTTTAAACTAGAAATATATAAACGGTAATAAGAGCCGTTCGCTGGATGTTGTGCGGAAATATGTGTGTGTGTATATATATATATAAATATAAATATAATAAATATAAATATAAATATAAATATAAATATATATATATATATATATATATAATATATATATACAATATATATACTATATATATATATATATATATTGCGGAATTATATATATATATATATATACACACATAATTCCGCACACATCCAGCGAACGGCTCTTATTACCGTTTACATATTTCTATTTTGTATATGTTTTTCCAAATATTTGTTTACGAATTTGCGAGGAATCTTATCACTTTTGGCATCGTTGTTTATTTGTCAATGCACGACGGCTAACAGCTCGAACTAGGGCACGATCATGCCCTCTCACGTTGTATCAAGGATTTTGCTGTTCTTTTTTTATCTTTGATGTGTTTATGTGAGAACAACTTTTCTTTCTTTTTCTCTCTTTTACTGTACGTACAGGATTTTTCTCTTTTTTTTTTTTTTCACAATTAGGCCGTTGCGCACAGTGTAAGGTCGATTTCTCAACTCTCTTCGTTTCTAACCTTGTGGAAAAATCAGAGAAAAAGATTATCTTTTTATCACACATCATTTATCATTCGAGTACCGCGCCATTACGCACGCCGCTCTTTTTTATTCAGGTTTTTTTACATAGTTTTCAATCGTTATTCGTTTGCATCTGCACGCGAATATCTAAATATTGACTTGTTTGAATTCAAAAAACTAATACAAAACAAAAGAAAAAAATCTAATACGAGTAAACAAAAGATTTTGTTTAATTATAATTAAAATATTAAAACAACAAAGTGAACAGTTTGCGCTCCTAGAGATCTTCCTTACGCAGACGTAAATGTCCATTAGACGTCTAATGAACATTTTCATGTAAAAGACGCAATGAATATCTAATGCGAAGATTAGATATTAGATATTAGATATATATATATATATATATAAATGTTTCGCGTGGATCTTGGCACAGCTCAAACAATAAATAATATAATCTTGAATAATCTCTTATATACAGGGTGTCCCAGAATTGGTGTAACATCTCTCGTAGACAGGTCCCGGTAAAAAATTTTTCATATATATACTTATACACAAATTAAAATAATTATATCTAATTATGCAAATTTATATGCCGAATATGTCCATACAATTTTATACACGGAGAATTTCTTTTTTTTAAGAGAATGGCTTCAAAGATATTCCATATCAAATTACAAAATACCTTTATTAGTATCATGTTAGATAGAAAAAAATTATATAAAATTATATTTTTACTTTTTTTTAAAAACATTTTTGACATATAATCATATATACTTATACACACAAATCAAACTTATTATATCTAATTATGCAAATTTATATATATATATATATATATACCGAATATGTTCATACAATTTTATACATGGAAAATTTTTTACCGGGGTAGAAGGAGTAAAACTGAGTCGATGAGTCCTGTATCATTTTGCTAGATTCGCAATAGTTACCGAGATCTTAATTAACAAAGATCAGCGATATATATATATATATATATGCTGTTATATTAGCTCTTCTCAAATGTTGCTACCGTAAGCGCGCAAAGCGCGCCGGGTTGTCTTACGCGCGCAAGACAGCCCGATGCGTGTTTGTTCGCGCGCATCTTTGTTAATTAAGATAACTCGGTAACTATTGCGAATCTAGCAAAATAATATAGGACTATATCGGATCAGTTTTACTTCTTCTACCTGTCTACGAGAGATGTTACACCAATTCTGGGGGGACACCCTGTATATTTAACGCAATGTATGATAATTTTAAAATCGTACAAATCGAATATTCGTATAAATCGATATAATCGAATAAAACACTTATCGCACGTAAAAAACGATACGTGTCACACAAAATTTCGACACGTGTCACGTTTTATAAACAGGACAGACGTCATCAAAGAGATAGAAAAGATATATCAGGCAGTTTTTTAGAAAACATTACTCTGTGACATGAAAAGTTTCGGAGATGCAGACGCGTTTTAGATAAGCGTTAATAATGTTAATAATTAATCGTTAATAATTAATTCACACATTCAGACATCAAGATCACGAAACGTAACAAAAACGTGTCTCTTCAAGTTACATAAACATACTTTTAAATCAATATATTCAAATGTTGTTTTAGAAAATAATTTTTCGATATTTCTTAAAATCTAATAATTCTTAAATGTATAATTTTATAATGAATCATAGCAGCCCGGTAAAAAATGTTCCATGTATAAAATTGTACGGACATATTTGGTATATATATATATATATAAATTTGCATAATTAGATATAATAAGTTTAATTTGTGTATAAGTATATATGATTATATATCAAAACTTTTTTTTAAATATAGTAAAAATATAGTTTTATATACTTTTTTTTTAAATCTAATCTAACACGATACTAATATTGGTATCTAACATGATACTAATAGAGTTATTTTGTAATTTGATATGGAATATATCTGAAGCCATTTTCTTAAAAAAAGAAATTCTCCGTGTACAAAATTGTATATACATATACATATTCGGCATATAAATTTGCATAATTAGATATAATTATTTTATATCAGACATTTTTTTAGAAACATTACTCTGTAACATGAAAAGTTTCGGAAATGCAAAAGCGTTTTAGATAAGCGTCAATAATGTTAATAATTAACCGTTAATAATTAATTCACACATTCCCGGTAAAAAAGTTTTCATATATATTTATACACAAATTAAAATAATTATATCTAATTATGCAAATTTATATGTGCCGAATATGTCCATACAATTTTATACACGGAGAGTTTCTTTTTTCAAGAGAATGGCTTCAAAGATATTCCATATCAAATTACAAAATAACTTTATTAGTATCATGTTAGATAAAAAAAAATTTATATAAAACTATATTTTTACTATATTTTTAAAAAAGTTTTGATATATAATCATATATACTTATACACAAATTAAAATTATTATATCTAATTATGCAAATTTATATATATATATACCGAATATGTCCATACCAATAATTTTATACATGGAAAATTTTTTACCGGGATGTAAATGCTTATTTATTTATTATATAAATTAATAATACACGTATAATATTTATACTTCATTTATTATCAACTTATAATTTGTAACTTATAATACGTATATACTCAAGAAATATTTATTATATTTAGTATATATATAATATTTACTACAATTAATAAACATTAATTAATAATAATGAAAAATAAATTATAAATGTTTCACGGCAGTTCTTTCTTTTTATAAACTCAATAAATCAGGGAAAAGAAATTCTATATGTCAAATATAATTATTATTACAAGTAGCCGACACAGACATCCATTAGACATCTATTAGATGTCGCGTGGAGCTGTCGACGTCTAATAGACGTCTAATGGAGTTTTTGTTCTGTGCGGGAGTGTATTAATTTTTTTTTTTATAATCATATATTAAATCTCAAGATAAGTATTTCTTATTCATTATGATATCTTATGTCATATCATTTTTTATAAATATATCACTTATATATTATGTTATATATATATATATATATTTTTTGATCAAAATAAAAAATTAAAATTATATCTTTAAAAACCATAATTTTAGTTTTAAACTTAATTTGTATCATATTTTTGTAAAATATATGTTTATAACAGTTTATATATTTTAAATTACATATTTGTATATTTGTATATTTATATAATTTGTTGTTAACTGCGTAATTGTTTGTCGCACTTTTACGTGTAAAACAAAGTTTCTTGTCTGAATCAAAGTTTTACTTCAAATTTTTAACAGTAAATTTTTTTGTAACAGTAGGACAAGCTCTTTTTATGGAAGTTGAAATATGTAAAACTACTTAAGACTTCGAAGTATTTTACTAATATTTTTCTCATGTTATTTACTTACAAGATATATATAGATACGTATAAATATGAATTTAAAAATTGAAATATCAGTAAGTGATAGTGCAATTTTTACTTTGTAAGCAAGTAATAAATTTTAAAACTTTTCAATTTAAAATTGTTTCAGCTTTAGCCTACCAGCATTTACAAGCAAGGTAAATGTTCGGTATAGGGGAATTAAGTTGCTCCGCGATGACCTTGACCTTGACATATGTTATCAAGGACTTTTGAATAGTCTCTAACAAGTTTTAGCCGTACTCATTGTTCATTAACAACTTATTAACAAAAACTGTTTGAAAAACACATGGTCTTTATTTTCAGTAATAACATAGAATAACTAATTATTATGGCTAATTATTATGACTAATTATTATGGCTAATTTGTGTGTCGATGAGAACAATAGTCAATAAATTTATTATGAACACTGAACAAATATATATATATTAACACAATTTATTCAGTATATAATTATACAACTAAAGCTAAATATTTTCAGATATACAACTAAAGCTAAATATTTGTGGCATATGTTAAAAAGTTATTTATAGAAAATATGATCAAACAAATAATTTAAAAAATTGATAAATATATAATCGGTCATGAGAGCCGTTCGCTAGGTGTTGTGCGGAAATTATACGTGTATATATACGCATATATATATAAATATATATATATATATATATATATATATATA